CATTGATGACAATGACGATGATGATGATGACAATGGGATGACGTCACCATGGCGATGATGACGATGACGATCAATCCACTGATGACGATCAAGCCATTGATGACGATGATGATGATGAAGCCATCAATGAAGCCATGATGATGATGATGATGACGATCAAGCCATTGATGACGGTGACAATGACGATGACGATGATGATGACAATGGGATGACATCACCACGGCGATGATGACGATGATGATCAAACAATCGATGATGATAAAGTCATTGATGATAATGAGGATGAAGCCATTGATGGTGACGATGATGATGAAGTCACCAACGATGACAGTGATGATGAATCCAATGACAATGGGATGACGTCACCACGGCGATGATGATGATGAAGATCAACCCATTGATGACGATGAAGCCATTGATGATGGTGACAATGACGATGACGATGACGATGACAATGGGATGACGTCACCATGGCAGTGATGATGACGATGATCAATCCACTGATGACGATGATGTCACTGATGATGATGATGATGGAACCATCGATAATGGTGAGGATGAAGCCATTGATGGTGACGATGACAATGACACCGTTGATGGTGATGAAGTCCTTGATGATGGTGATGACGATGTCATTAACGATGATGATGACGTCATTAATGATGATGGTGATAACGATGATGATGATGATGATGATGATGAAGCCATTGATGACGATGATGACCATGATGATGACGGTGACAAAGACGATGATGATGGTGACAATGATGTCATTGATGATGTCATTGACGATGGTGATGATGATGTCATTAATTATGATGATGTCATTAACGATGATGATGACGTCATTAATGATGATGATATCATTGATGATGATGATGATGATGATGATGACGATGATGATGATGATGATGATGATGACGTCATTAATGATGATGATGTCATTGATGCCGAAGCCCCGCCCCGTTCCGTACCTGCGTTTTGCGGATTCTCAGATCGGCCGAGGAGCGATTGAGCCCCTCCTCCTGCTCGATGCTCTGCTCGATGGCTGCGGGGGAGGGGAATGGTCAGTGAGGGAATGGTCAGTGAGGGGACAGAGGGGACACTGCCCATGGGACAGAGTGGACACTGTTTGGGGTCACCCAGGGAGGGGACAGAGGGGACACTGCCCACAGGGGACAGAGTGGACATCACCCCAGGGAGGGGACAGAGTGGACACGGGGGAGGGGATGGTCAGTGTGGGGGAATGGTCAGTGACGGAA